TKKGKTKGAARRGACCWTAAATSCCACCCAGTGCCACCCCTGCYATGGCAGSGACACCTCCCACTGTCCCAGGCTGCTCCAAACCCCRTCCAACCCCCTTGAATGATTTATGTGGATGCTCCTCTTTCTGTGGGATGGAAAGAAGAGCTTTTTTTGGAGTGTAAATTTGTGCAGCAGCAGCAATTTGGGGTCCTGTCTCCTCTCCCCTCAGGATCCCAGTGCTTTCCATCCTCAGCTTGCTCTCAGAAAGAAAACTCTGTTAAACTCTGTACAGAGCTGGGACGGGCAGGATAAAARCCTGCTCCACAAAGCTGGGTTTAAAGATAATCATTCATTTCACCATCAATTACCCAAAGCACTCCTGGGCAGAGCAGGTTCAGTTCTCATCACAGCTGAAGAGTTCTCCCCCTTAATTTGGTTCTTGCTGAGCTCTTGCAAATAATATGGACACGTACTTTTGTAATTTACCCARCTCATTTTTAGCCTGAAGAATTAATTATCTGGAAAATCCATTCTAAATTTAGCTTTTTTAAAAAGAACATTCTTTTTGTGAATTAATGTTTGTGTAAATGGGGGTTGGGGTGCCCGGTGATGTGTCTGCACTTGCAGAAATCCCCGAGAAAGCTCCCCCAGGGAAGGAGAACACGTCCCAGTCACTCACACTGTCCTGTCCTCAATCAGATCTGCAGAGGCAGACGGAGGAAATGCTCTTCTGTCAATGCTTTTTCTGAAGACACATTGCCCCGGGGGGCACTTTGCTCCTTGTTAAAAACAGGGATGTTATGAACACCCCGGGGACGCTGCAAATTGAGGAGAGGAGTGTSAGGATGGCTGTGACAGCGGGGCCAGAGGGACCAGCTCTGCCATGGTCAGAAAGGGATTGGGAAATATTCGCATGTCATCAAATCAAAGCTTTTGTCCCTTCCTTAAATGTACCGGGAGATTGTAAYGGCTGTGAATTCACAAAGTGCCACATTCTGACAGGGCTCTTGTGTCCCAAAAGCCGCCGTGTGA